GTCTTTGAATGTTTTTGAACTACAGTATCATCACTTCGGCAACACGTTTCTGGTTTCGTGCACGATCATTTGGAGTACAGATTTGCCGAAGTCAATATCAGTATGAGCTGTTATAAGCATCGTTCACTTGTGGTGGCTGTATTTGCAAGACAGCACGCTTTGCGGTGGTGTTCGTTCATCCTCCGTTTTTAACGTGAGTAGGCTTAAAGTCACAAAAACAGCACCCTTTGCCAATCCCTGCTTTGTACTGCAAATACAAAATTTTTAAGACCTAGGATTTTGATGTTTGAAGGAAAATTCTTTATTTTAAAAATGACACTGAACGCCGAAACGGGTTGTCTCCAAACAAAACTTGACAAGGGATGACGGAAAATCGTTCCGCAATACATCATACTGGCTTTGTTTCTTTTCTTTTCTAGCAGATAATTATCAGGAAGAAGCAGAATGAGAAAATTGAGGGAATTACGCTCACAGAGAGCGCAAAAAAGAAATAGTAAAGAAACGCAAAACTAGCAAGTAAACAGCTGATCGATGTATTTGACTATTGAAAATATTTGGCTTCAATTTTTGTTTATCTATTTTGACAGCTGCTAGTTTCTGCTAGTAAAAATTTTACTAGCAGAAATTAGCAGGAGAGCCTAAAATATAAGAGCGTAAGAAGGAAAGAGAGCTGCTGGGTTCTGCTAGTTTTTTGGGTTAAGAAACGCTTTCCAGCAGAAATTAGTGATAATTTGTGATAATTACCTACCCCGTTATTTTAAAAAACTTGCACTTTGACACAGCCAAAACTATCCTTCCCTACATTTTTATAAATTTTCAAAAATTTTTTTGTAAGAGTAAGAATGCTAAGTGAAATATTAACAATAGCTGTATGACGCCTTCGGCAAAAACATTCCTTATAAAAATAGGGGTGGTTTGCAAACATCACAGTTTTCGTAGTCCCTTCAATAACACAAAAAACTAATAAAAACAAAAGCTCTTCAAAAATTTCTCCCATGCGATGTATTTATTTCACATATTACAAGTACGATATTATAATAATTTTATGAAAGGTTATATTTTCTTCTCTAATTTGTTGTTTAAAATGAGATCTGCGGAAGTTTGTGTTCCCACACTACCTCTAATTTTTAATGACGAATATTTTTACTTTAAAACGGCAAAGTTAAATCTCTTCGAGATTTTGTATTCTCGGTGCAAAGACCCCCATGACTCCTTAGGCTTTGAGTGCAATTAAAATAGCTCTCAGACTCAAGACTATAACTTTGTTCAGCGAAAATGGTCAGTGTGGGTGTGTTCAGAAATGCAACAAGCCAAAGCGTCAGTCTCTTTTACCACTAAACAATAATTGATGGAATTACCTTATTTACGCAACCAAGTTCCAAATAAGCATTTAATCGTGGTTGCGCATATTGGACATTTCCGTCAATTATAGTTTAGAAATAAGATAGACTGATGCTTTGGCTTGATGCATTTCTGAACACACCCTGTGATGCCTGTTTCAAAACTATAGCATGGTAATTTTTCGCAGAAAATATGTTGAATTTGTTGGACTGTGTAATTAAGAAATTAAATTTTTCAAATAATCATTGAACATTTTAAACCCATACCAAGACTTTGACTTTGAATAGTCAGAATTTAAGCAAAAAAATATTGTTCATTTGTTTGTGTGTGCGTATCATGGCCGTTATTTTACTTGTGAATGCATTTTAATGGTATATAATTTTATTTTTATGTAATCATTGTCGACACTAAATCATTAGAAACAAATTAAAATATCGCATTTAAAATTAATTTGGTTTAATACTAATTGATAACTGTATCTGCATACACATACGTACGTACGTGGTATAGATTAATAAATGTATACTCACTAGATTTTCGGATTAGTTTTTGCAATAAAATAAATTGAACAAAATCAAACACAGTCATACAAAGCGAATCAGTGACCTAATCTTTGTCAGAAGACTCTACTGCAACTTAATAAAACTATTTTAAAATTACATAGTCCAGCTGTCCATTGATTGCACAAGCTCTCCTTTAATTTGCATCGAATTCTCCGATGTTGTAGGTGCCGGCAGTGTCGTCATATGCACCACAGACTGTGGCGGTGCTTCCTCATCTTTGTCATTTACAAATTTATGCTTATTCTTCATGTGTGAATTGAGTCCCACAAATTGATGGAAGCGAGCATCGCAAAGCTTGCATGCATAGCGCTTAACTTCAGAGTGTATTTGCTTGTGTCGCATTAACGCATGGCTGCTGTGGAAAGCTTTACCGCAAGTAGGGCATTTGTGATTGCGTATATTTAAATGTGCGTTCATGTGATCGCGCAAATGACACTTCAGATAGAATGTTTTGGGACAGAGTTCGCATGGAAAGTTGCGTTGTCGCAAATGTATACGTATGACATGTTGCTGCATGTTGATCTTGCGTCTAAAAGCTTTGCCACATGTTTCACACACAAAAGTTTTTTCGCCAGTATGCGTCTGTCGATGTAGCAACATTTGACTGTGTTGCAAAAATCCGCGGTTGCAGACATCGCAATGTACCGAAAATTGTTTAAGATGCACACGTCGCAAATGAGTATCCAGCTGATTGTGTGCTGTGAAATCACGTCCACACACCTCACATCTGAACGGATTTGTGCCAAGGCTATGGGCGGCAAACCTATGCGCTTGTAGTGTATATTCAGTAAGGAAGTTGCGATTGCATACCTCACATTTGAGACGGGTAATTGGTTTGGCCTTTGGTAAGAAGCTGCATATATCTTTAAGGTGTTCCGCGGACTTAGCCAATACCTTGCGTTCCTCGATGTTTGCGAGAGCACGGCGCAATACCTTTATATTCAATGCCAGATCTCTGTAAGTAAAACTCACATTGTGTTTTTCTTGAAAAATTGGTATCCACGCTTCTATAATTCGTTTGCGCTCGGTTAAGTTATGAAATTGGCCAATTTCCCACAAAAGTGGGTTATCGCGTAACAAGCTTACGAATTCATCAATGAGAGGATTTGCACTTATATTGAAGCTGATGCGTTTGCCATCACGCTGTGATGAGGAAAATATATTACAGATTACAATGGAAAAATGTTAAACTAAACCATACCGAGTCCTTCCAAAAGGCGTTTATTGTATCTGCGTTATCCGCATTTGAACCTCCATCTGAGCTCATCGAGAAATCGTCATCATTAAAGTCATCGGCAACTTGGTTATCATCCTAAAAACAAGGAGTATTCAGATACAGAAAGATATTATTGAAAGAAGTACTTAAGTAAATCCTCAGTTCTATTTACATATTTCTTAAATTCTTTCGTGGATATTCGGGCCAATTATTGAACCCATCGTAGCACAGTGCCCCCTACGTATTTTTGTAAAGGTAATAATCCACAAGTCGACAAATTTTATACTAAGGGCCAGTTTTTCAGTGCCAGTTTAAACTCAGATTAAGTAACCTGAGTTTAAATTGAACAGCTGGCTGACATTTGATTGACTGATCTTAGTTTAAACCAGGCAGATCGGGCGTTTAAACTTAGTTTAAACCACGGCCGTGCACTGAAAAACTGGCCCTAAGAATATTAACAAGAGCATAGCCATGCGTAAGCTCTTCATGGAAACAAATGTCAAAAATACATACTTTCAAATAAACCCTGCAAAATCAGTGACTATCATTTGACAAATCATTTGAGTGGCAAGACTGATAGGGCTCATTTCTCCAACTCAACTTAACTTAGTTTAGCCACTTTTCGGACTTAAGTCAAAAGTTAGCCTACGTTTTACACAGCTTATTCTTGACTAAGTCAAGAAATTTGGCTTGACTAAGTTAAGTTGAGTTGGAGAAACCAGCCCATAGAGATTTCTGTCACTGGTTACCTACAAGTTTCTATCCAATTCTAAAGGGCAGTGTGAAAAATCTGATGTAAACATTTGTGTACATGTGATTTTCCGTCTTCCTCCAACTTATGGCCTTATTTAATGGTCTCTTTTTAACCAACGCAAAATCTGCAAATGTGTTAGTAAGATAAATGAGAATGTGTTAGTTTCCATCACACAATTCTTGTAGGGAATAGTTTGTTCCAGTACACTAGGACATAGTTAGTCTGTTCCAATAGCAGTCCGGTTTACAGGATTTAGTCAGAACTTACAGGAAGTCGTAATTGACATAAAACCATGAACCAAAAATACAAGATCACGAGGGCAGGAGAGTAGCCCGTTAGAATCGCATTTAGGAAAAAAGTTTAACGATTTTGACAATAGCCGTTTGTTTACATTTCTTCATTGTTTACAATTTGGTCGTGGCTCTTTACTGCAATTTTCTTCTTTTTCGCCTGTGACAACGTGTGTACACATAAGGTAAAGAATAATTTAACACAACGGCATGATTTATAGAAGAATTTGCATAATAAAAATGATTATTCATGCGTTCAACAATTTCGCGGTTTTCTCCGTTCTCTTCGTTGTTTACTTCTTACAACAAAGATGGCGTCAAGATTTCAACAGCTAGAAAATAACTTTTTTCGTTCTTTCCTTCCCGCGTGATCTTGTGCCTTTCGTTCATGGGCATAAAACCTGTAAGTGGGAACAGAGAGTAACTGAGCCACTGTTCCTAGTCAGAAGTTACAGGATTTAGTCCGGAGTTTTTTTTCCTGTAAGTTCATGACAAGTGTCAAACGATCAGCTGATTTGCATGTGCAAACAAAAACAGAAAGCGGTGAAAACAAAGATCCTTAAATTTGTAAAATAATGGAAGTAAACAACGAAATATTTGAATATGTATAGAATTTAGTAATTAGTTAGTGATATTTCAGCCAAATCAGTGTTGTACAAGTGACATATGTAAACAACCCGACTGACGTTTTTACAGGAAATAGTGCTTTTTGCGTTCCCGTGCACTTCTGCATCTGTTCTCCTTTTACTCTCACTTGAGAGAGTAAAATTGTAGTTTGACAGTTCCACAGGTTTTAGTCCGAAGTTCAAAGGAACAGACTAAGTATGAAATTACAGGAAGTCGTTCCCGTACGCAAGGATTTCTCTCACTGTGAACACTTTTGAGCGAGTAAGAGAGCAACTATTCCCAGTCAGAAGTTACAGGATTTTGCCCGAAGTTTTTCTTCCTGCAAGTTCATGAAAAGTGTCAAACAATAGGCAGGGTTGCATTTGTAAACAAACACAGAACGCGGTGCGATCAAGGATGGAAGTAATAGGGAATTTACATACATGATTCAACTTTCACATGCGATTAGTTGAACCAAAAGTTGAACGAAAGTAGGCAGCCGACCAACTTTATTGTAAGCGATTAGTTGAAAGGCCGTTTACACCAGGCGATTGTTGCTTTCAACTAAAAATCGCGTCATGTAAATTCCCTATAAACAACGAAATATTTGAATATGTAGGCAATTATTCTTAATTGTATAGCTTTTAATAATTATTTACTGATTTTCGGCCAAATTAGTGTTCTACCAATGACATGTAAACAAACCGACTGACGTTTGTGCAGGAAATAGTGCTTTTTGCGGTCCCATACACTTCTGTAACTGTTCCCCTTTTACTCTCACTTGAGAGAGTAACATTGTAGTTTTACAGTTCCACTGGTTTTTGCACGAATAATACTGGAACAAACTAAAAATGATGTTTTGACGTTTTTTATTTTTATTTTTGTCGATTCCTTTGAATTTCCGACTAAAACCTGTGGATTATCAAACTACAATTTTACTCTCTCAAATGAGGGGAACGTAAAAAGCACTATTTCCTGTAAAAATGTCAGACTGTTTGTTTACATGTTATTGGTACAATACTGATTTGGCTGAAATATCACTAAACAATTATTAAAATCTATACAAATTCCAATATTTCGTTGTTTACTTCCACTTTTACAAATATACGGTTCTTTGCTTTCACCGCTTTCTGTTTTTGTTTGCACATGTAAATCAGCTGACCGTTTGACACTTTTCATGAACTTACAGGAAAAAAACTCCGGACTAAATCCTGTAACTTCTGACTAGGAACAGTTGCTCAGTTTCTCTCTCAAAAGTGTTCCCCCTTACAGGTTTTATGTCAATAGGAACGACTTCCTGTAAGTTCTGACTAAATCCTGTAAACCGGACTGCTATTGGAACAGACTACATAGAGATAAAGGTTCATAAAATAGAAGGTTACGACATGGTGCTGTCAAAAATTTGTTTTCCTCCAATGACGTAGTTGCGAAGTGAGTTCTGATTGGCTGAAATATTTTTACACAAAACGCAGAAAATATACATGCCTATTACGGTATCCGACGGATGTCATTCGCACGAATCTGATACTTCACTCTCGCTTGTTATGACGGTGAGGATCAGATAAGATCCGTGCGGATGGCATCCGTCGGATATCGTAATAGGCATGATAGTTGCCGTATAGCATATTTTAGGAATCCTATTCAAATAGGCATTTTTGATATAAATCATGACAAAGCTTATTATAACAACATAAAATGTTATAACTTCACGTGAAACTGTATTAACATAATAATATTCGTACAATAGCGACAAATGAAATGTAAATCGAATGCTTATTGAAATTTGGTGGTGATTTTTTTTCTTGAAAGTGGGCAGAACGCACTCGCGCATTTTTAAATAAAAAGCGTCCATAACATTGGCAAAATTTCCCTACCGAAATTGCAATTCATCTTTACACATATGGTAAAACCTAAATTACCTTTTTCAGTGTAATTTTTGTAATCAAAAACAGCGCACTTAAGTTTTAAATAAATTAAATAAACTCAAAGACGCAGAAAAACGCACAAACTTCTTTTGTTTTTTTTTTTGAACGTTCCATAAAAACAAATTTTAATTAACATTTGAACTTTTGTAGTGTTGTGCGGTTTATACTTAGTGTATGTGTTAAAAATGCAACATGCAACAGCATGTTATGTGGTGTTAAATATAAATCAGATGCCACTAATTTTTTTAACGCGCCTCAATGTCCTTCGCGTAAGAAGCGTTGCGAAAACAGCTGTGGGGCAGGGCTGCGCGAAATGCCTTGCTGTCCGTTAAACATTTTAAATTAGCACATTTTATAAACGCACCGGGAGGTACAGCAAAGGCACGTTTGATGCCAAGTGCTGTTACTATGACTCTTATGCCGGAAAGTCCCTCCAACAACACTGCAACTCATAAATCAAAGACGGAAAACAACAAACAAATTAACAAATTTTAACTAAAGAAAATATATAAATAAAATTAAACTTCAAATTTACTTAAAAACGCCAACCAGTGAAATGTGATTTTTTATTTTTCCTTATTCTCTAGCTAAGTCCTTCAGGCCGATAAGCCTTACCTCCTTCCTGCTTAAGGCGATGGAGAAGGTGATCGACCATGAAATCAGGAACAGCACCCTTAAACAGGTGCCTTTACACCCCGACCAACATGCCTACAGAGTGGGCAGGTCTACGGACACCGCACTGTACACCCTATCTACGGAAGTACTAGATGCATTTGAGTGTGGGGAAACAGTACTCTGTGCCTTCATCGACATTGAGGGGGCGTTTGATAACACCTCTCATATCAGTGTCGACCGGGCACTCGAAAAACGCAATGTGCAGGCAACGATCCGCAGGTGGATAGCCAGGCTACTAAATTCAAGAATCGCTGAAACCGATATCGGGGACAGCGTGGTACAGTTAAAAACTACGAAAGGTTGCCCGCAGGGAGGAGTCTTATCCCCTCTCCTGTGGAGCCTAGTTGTGGACGAACTTCTATGGATTCTCACAGACAATGGCATCCGCTGTCAAGGCTATGCGGATGACATCGTGATTCTCGCCAGAGGAAAGTTCGTGAGCACTCTATGTGACATAGTGCAAAGGGGACTAAACCTGGCAAGAGGCTGGTGCGCGGACATGGGCCTCAGCATCAACCCCTCTAAAACGGTTATTGTCCCTTTCACTAGAAGAAGAACGCTTCCAGGCATGAGGAACATTTCTTTGAATGGGGTCGCCATCAACGTCGCCACCGAAGTCAAATATCTAGGACTAACCCTGGATTCTAAACTTCTGTGGAAGGCACATGTTGACGCGGTCACTTCCAAAGCTACGAGGGCACTAATGGTATGCAAACGCCTGGCAGGAAAGACCTGGGGCTGCAGTCCCAGGATTCTGAGATGGATGTATACCATGATAGTTAGACCAATAGTCACCTATGGAGCAGTGGCTTGGGCCTCGAGAACCACCCTCACCACGGTGAGGCAATCCCTCACCAAGCTTCAACGTCTGGCATGTGTATGCATCACGGGGGCAATGCGCACATGTCCGACGGCAGCGCTGGAGGTGATTCTCGAGCTCGAGCCGCTGTACCTTACCATAGAACAGGCTGCAAAGCGAACTCTACTAAATTTCGCGAGGGAAGGCTTTGGCAGGGGCAGAACTATATCATTAAGGAACAGAGACAAGCTAGGCTCCCAAGTTCCGCTAGCTTTACTCCCCAGAGACGACAGGCCTAAGGTGGTTAACTTTGACAGGAATTTCAAAATAGAGCTTTGCACCAAGGCGACCTGGAGCTCCTCTCTCATGGAGAGGCTGATCCAATCGAGCTCGTTGCAATGGTACACAGACGGCTCGAAGACTCCGGAAGGCATTGGGGCTGGCGTCTACGGGCCGAGGCTACAGCTCTCGGTACCTATGGGGGCGTACCCGAGTATCTTCCAGGCGGAGGTCTATGCCATCAGTCTGTGTGCAGAGATTAACCTACGGAGGAATTACCGTAATGAGAGAATCTTAATATTGAGCGACAGCCAGGCGGCACTCAAGGCCCTCTCAGCATTTGAGGTCAAGTCATCCTTGGTTCTTGAGTGCATAGATAGGCTCAACAGCCTGGCAGTGCACAACAAAATCCAATTAACTTGGGTACCAGGACACATAGGAGTTGCGGGCAACGAAGAAGCGGACCGACTAGCTAGACTGGCGGCCGCCTCGTCGCCTATAGGGCCTGAGCCCTTCCTAGCGATTGGACCCAGTACAATCAAGGAAGAGCTCAGGAAAGAAAGGAACACACAAAGGAATCAACACTGGCGCAACACTACAGGTTTACGTCAAGCAAAACAACTACTGGGAGGCTACAACCTCACGAGGTACAGGGCAGTTATTAATCTATCCAAGGGAAAACTAAGGATCATAACAGGTTTTCTGACGGGTCACTGCAGACTGAGAGGCCATCTGCACAAGCTAGGGATTTGGTCCAACGACCTATGTCGTTTCTGCGACGTGACCGAGGAGACTCCCGTGCACCTGCTTAGCGAATGCGTGGCGGTCGCGAGAAGACGGGAGAGGTACCTGGGCCACTACTGGCCAAGTAACGAAGCAATACAGTCGCTAATCCCTGGGGATCTCCTCAAATTTTTGGGCTCTCTAGGATTAGATGAGGTACTGTAAATGGTTGAGGGCACAATAGACCTGCTGGTCGCAGTGCATGCCTCCATTAATTATCTATCTATCTATTTTTCCTTACACACGCTCATTTTTATTTTTACTCTCCCGAAAACTTTGACTTTTGTAGGTTTGACGTCAAATTGGCGTCTACCTGTTTTTATTGTACCATGCCGAAAGTGTAAAAAATTGTTCTGACTTTTTTTTCTAAATCAAAGCATGCCATGTGAAATACAATAAAAAAATTAAAAATTTAAATTGTAAAAAATCAAAATTTTTGCAACTTTCTTTCTTAGTAAATTTGTTTGCTTCTCGAAGCACTGATCCATCCTTTGCAAGGTCCAGTAATCAGCGGTTGTGCTGCTGAGTTGGGCGAACGTTCCAAAAGCTGCTATTCAATAGCTTGTTTTGTATGGAAAAAAGGTTTCACATGCACATAGATTTTAACAATTTAGAATTTTTGTGAGGAAAAATCAAAAATATTTGACATCTTCGAGACCAAGTAATTTGAAAAAAATCAAACCAACTGCTCTAGTGATACTACCTGTTCAATATGCCTTGGCTACAGGATTCAAAATTTTGGAATAAAATAAAAACAGGCTGTCCCTGTGGTATTGAGGAAAAGCATTTTTTATCAAAATTTCAAAAAATGCTAAATTTCAATGGAATAAACAGAAAATATGTTATTTTTGTTATTTTATTAAATAGTACGGGTTTTAGCTTTCGTAAGAAGAAATAAAAACCTGCTCCTTACACTTTTTGAAGTAATGCGTCTTTTGCTAATGCATAAAATCATTTTTTTTTTTCATTTTTTGACAGTGCCATCAGATTTGGCCGATTCGTTCTATTTTGAAAAATAAAGTGTCAGATTAAAAAGCTTGACCTGTACACAATAGAGGTTTATTTTTTTTAAAGAGTTGCCACCTGTTAGAAAACTAAACTTTAATTTTTTAATAAGTATCAATCGAAATGTGTATAAAAAGGTGTTATTTTTTAACTACATGTAGAGGGTTGCCACCTGTTAAAAAAATCAAATTCCATTGGAATTAAAGGAATAAGGTTATTGAAATAGATAGGTATCACCATATGGGAGTCGGCCGAAAGAGGTTTAAGAAGGTTTTAGCTTGCAAATATTACAAAGAGGGTTGCCACCTGTTTGTGAAGTCAAATTTAGTTTAACTAAAATAATAATTGTATCAAACCAAAGGTTTACGACATCGTATTTGTTATTTTAATACAAATACATACATTGTCAATCAGTGATTGGTTCTGATTACATTCCTTTTAAATTATTGGACTCTTAAATTGACTCAGGAATGTTTTTACCCTTCACTTATTTCTCTCTTAATATGTCCAATTTTTTCTTTTGTCTGATACCCACTGGCAACACTTTTACGTGTCGTTTAAAAGTAAAGCATTTTCAAAACCATTTCAACTGTTACCCATATTGTAATATCTAGTTCATTTAACTTATTAAAGAATTTTAATAAAGTGTTTAACTATATGTACATACCTACATACATATATAAATGCCAACCCAAATTTTCAACTTAAAACTGTATTTATATTGAAAGTATGAAAGTAATCCAAAAACAAATTGCATTCTTGAATTTAGCGTCTCAATTTTACTCAGAAGCTAATTTTCATTTAAATTCGTCCATAATTCTATTTTTGCCCACATCTCATATGGAAGGGAAGCACTGTGCGTAGGTTAGATTTTCGTACAGCTAAAAACGCGAATTTAAAATTGGTGTGGTAAAATTATTGAATCTGTTCGTAACGAGTTTTCGTACAGATTTTCCACAAGTTTATGATGTCAGAACCGTTTAAAATATGTAAATCTTAAAAAATTTACATATTAGGGTTTCGAATTTGTTATTTGCTGAATATTTGTGTAAACTTAAATAAAAAATAACATAGAAACGTAATGGGCTGCTAGAGGCTAGATAATAAATGCACGTTTGTCTATAAAAAGTAAATGGAGTTGATATCACACACAGATAAATTTGTTATAGGTCTTAAAAGACGGTCAATAAATAAATGAGTCATTTTTATGCAAAACATACAACCGGCCTTAATTATCATATAAAAATTTATGAATACCGTTAATTTCTTAATTTTCCAAAGATCTGATCTAAACCAAATTAGTATGGGACCATCCTTGGGGTAATGCCTTTGCGATAAAAAAACAAGATCGGTGCACGTGGTCCAAAGTTATGCAGTAACATACATAAATAAAAATATTCCGACGAATTAATAACTCCGATAATAAATAAACCATACCGACTTCAATTCTCATATAACAATTTAAGAGTACCGTTAATTTCTTCAGGATCTAAACCAAATTCGTACGGGACCACCCCTGAGGTATCCCCTTTCCTTAAAACAAAAATGATTATAGAAATCGGTTAACGAGGTCCAAAGTTGTGAGAATACATAAAAATAATATTCCGACGAATTGAAATCCTCTCTTTTTTGAAGTCGGTTAATAAATTAGATAAGCTAACGAATTATATTCGCAATTTCCAATATTTATGCATTTTGCGGCTATCTATTTTTTCCGCACAATATTTGTTTCATTGATATATTTGTTTCCTAGTTTGTAAATTTATGTCAAATATAAAATTCAATTTCAATTACACAAAAAAAGGATAAGAGATTACAAGATTATCTAACATATTAACATTTACTTTACGTTAGATGTGGCATTTGAATCTGTCAAAAGTGGATATGTAGGATTTCTGCGATGGATTCAATAAACGGCATATTGTGAGTAAGAAACATATGGTATGGAGTGCTTGATGTTAATGTGTTTGGTAGCTTTGGCTTTACTTACCATGTCAGAGTCATTATTTGCTTCATTGGCATTACCAACGCTCTTTTCACCGTCCAAAAATCTACATTTTTTTAACAATAGTGATTTCCGATCGTCTACGCGTCCACAAACAGCTAATTCTTGCTTGGCTCCTTTATGGTCACGCAAAATGCGCTGTATTGAGCTCCGAAGCCCGTAATCGCTAACCGACCAACCCAATTTCGTCATATATTGTTTAATTGTGTACAGTACGCGAGTACGTTTTTCTGGCACCCAATAACTCGAATGCTGTTGATCCCATAGGATTGGATACTTTTCTAATATTTTTAGAAATTTGTAAGAAATGTCGCGGGTATACGTTTCATGGATATTGAAATTAAACTGAAATAAAATTACTCTTTCATAGCATCGTCAGGGAATATTATCGTGTTTACTACCGTTTTAAGTTTTTTCTTGGAATCGGCCAAGGGTTCCTCTTCGCTAGACGAATCGTACTGGGGAAAATAACAAAGGAATAACATTTGAACGTTTAGGTATACCTATTTAACGACAAACCATATTATTCTTGTCATCAGCCATGTCCCAAGCACCCGTCGATTCCTCAGACTTTGCACTGGCACCATCATTGTCGGGGCCCTCATCATTGGAATCGGATGCCTTGGCAAATTCGCGGTCATCGTCGCTGTCATCGCTTTCACTTTCATACTCAGCCGCATCAACTTTGTTTTGTTTTATTAACTCATGTTCCATTTCTTTCTTTACAGTCGCTTTAAAAGTTACTTCTTCACATTCTGAATTTTTATCCTGCTCTTTCTCGAATTCATTTTTTACCGGCAAATTAAGGTCATGTTTATTACTCAAGTGTTTTAGAAATCCCGACCACTGCCCAAATGACGCCTCGCACTTTTCGCAGGAGAGAGCAAAAAAATGATAGTCATCTGTTGTTAATATCTTTCCGCAGACATGCAATGACTCCCTCATTGTTTCAAAAGTTTTTTCAGATGTAAATGCTATAAATTGAATAACTTAATTCATCAAACAAAATTTTCACCCGAGAAGCAATCCAATCAACAGCACGCAAGAGGTGCAAAACTATCGATGGCACTATCGATAGTATCGATAGTTTCAATTTGTCACTACTATCGATGAATGGTGGTCACTATCACGATACTATCGGCAATTTTTTCTAATCGCTTTTTTTATTCCATTATTGGTTGCGAGTTAAAATTCCTAATTAAAGAATTCATAATTATTTGTGCGATCGTGTATGTAGGTATATAAAAACTATGTTAGACAATTTTTTTATATGCAGCAAATAACAAACACCTCCAACAAAAAAATTTGCAAAAGGTAACGATACTGGGTACTTCAAAGTTCAACTTTATAAAAAAGAAATTAACGGACTACAAAAGTCTATAATAAATTTTTGTAATAAATATAGTCCAGGACTCTACATTTTGATGGAACTGGTTCGAATTTTCCATATTTTTTTAAAACGTTTGAAATATAGACTTGCGCGGTTTTTTGTTAGATAACGAACCATACTTTCACAATAAACATTAAATAAACAAAACCAGATTAGCTGAAACTTGTTAAAATGTCCCGCCCATATTTATGTTTATGCCGATGCATTTATACTTTCAATCGTTGCTGTTGTTGTTGTTGTAGCGGCTACAACAACCCCGCACAGATCGGCTGATATCTCAGTCGTTGTCGTCGAGTTCCACTAACGGCAGCCCCAAGAAGTGTGCAGCCTCTATGGGGTGGGTCCATAGGGACGACGCCGTTAGGGTTGTGGGGTTTTCCGGGCATGCGAAGAGATGTTTCGAGTCGTGAGGGGTCTCTCCGCATGCCGGAAATTCGTTCGGCATATCCGCATTTAACCTACTCAGGTAGGAATTTAGCCTGCTGCAGTAGCCAGAGCGAAGTTGGGCTATTGTCTCCCTGGTCTTCCGAGGCAGATGGAGCTCCGTCGCGTCAATGTCCGGTGTTTGTGTGCCTAGAATGGCATTCACAGGTCTTGAGTCTACATAACTCGAGACTGCGTCCTTGTGAATGCCGTTCAGGGCCTGTCTGTGAGCTGACGGGTCCAGAGGCTAGTTAATGAACCTCTGGACTTCGTCCGTCAGTTCATATAGATGCCTCCTGACGTGCCTCGGCGAGGGCTCCTCTGCAAGCAGCTGTCTATTTGGGTGGCCACATCTGTGGCTCCAAGCAAGAAACTGCTTGCAGAGCATCGTGTTGTGCTCCCTAATTGGGAGCATTTTCACCTCATCGTGGAGGTGGTGTTCTGGTGACATCAGGAGGCATCCGGTCGCTGTCCTAAGTGCTGTATTTTGTACCGTCTGTAGCTTCGTCCACTGCGTCCTACTAGTCCCCGGCGACCACACTGGTGCTGCGTAGTTTAAAACCGGCCGGCCTATTACCTTGTATGTTGCCAGCAACGCTTCTTTATCTTTGCCCCAAGTACTGCCGGCTAGCGACTTGAGGACCTTGTTGCGGCTCTGTACTTTATTGACAATAGCGGTTGCGTGCGCAGAGAACTAGAGCAGGCTGTCCAATGTCACTCCGAGAATTTTAGTATTGTTCACAGTCGGAATTGGTGTGTCATCGACGTGAATTCCTAGCGGTAGCCTGACCTCCTTCGTCCAGGTTGTGAAAAGGGTCGCAGAGGATTTCGTAGGGGAGATGGCTAGACACTTTGCAGTGAAGACGCGAGAAAGTTCAGAGAGATATCCGTTTACTTTCGAACACAGGTCATCAATTCCATTCCCAGTCGCCATGATCGAGCAATCGTCGGCGTAAGAGACAATCGAGACTCCCTCTGGTGGTTGAGGGAGCTTTGAAATGTAAAATTTAAACAGTAGTGGGGAAAGGACACCACCCTGTGGAACCCTGTTATCAATCGTCTCGCGCAAGGCGTATTCAATAAGGTGGTATCGGTACGCCAACAACAAAATGTACATGTATTTTGTTTTTGCTTTTGCGGCGAGGACTGTCAAAAATTTCATAGGAATGATGTGAAAGAGAAAAAAAACAATAAACAATCAACTGCTCCAACCAATCAACAGCAGCCATTTGACATATGAAGCCGTGAGGCGACGGAAAATAAAAGGGTGCTGCTATCACCTGTTAAATACGCCTTGGTCTCGCGTTATGCTTGACAAAAAAACAAGCTCACTTGCCTTCTGATGGTCGTGATGGGCAAGTGCGCGGACAAGAAATAGCTCAGTTATGCATACTCAGCGTGGGAGTTGTCACATAAGAATCTGCTAAATGGGTTTTGCGTGTAAGCGGTTACCCAACGCATAGCACTTAACATGTAGAATTCTGTTGGGTTTTTATTTTTTACGTAAAAATGGTATAGCAGTGCAAGTATGCATAACTGGGCATAAAAAAATTGTTTTTTGTTTGATTGAGCATTACTAAAGCTGAAATTAGTCAAGAACGTAAACCTACCGGTACGTAAACCCGAGTTAGCTGACACGATCTGTCTTACCAAAGCGCCATGTAAATGAAAACTCAACACCGCAGAATTTTTCTGTAGTTGTAGCCCGTAGCGCAGAAATCTGCGGAATTTAGATTTTTCCGTGTCAGCTGATTTCTTCCTTCTATAGATGGTTTCCCCTTTGCCAGTTTTGCAGGTGGTAAAAAAGTTATAAGTTCCTATACAAAATACGTTTAAAATATTTGAAATTTACTATTGAATACGGTTTTTTGTTGAAAACTAAGTAGTCTATATTAAGCAACGATCTATTATAGCACGTAGGTAAGTTTATGAAAAGGCATTGATTAGTGGCAACACTGTAGTAAGCAACACTGAGGGCTCTAGTAATCGACAAAATTCTGCGCATACAGACTGCGCTTATATATACTGTTGCGATTATCCTCGAAACTTTGAGGGATTTCCCAAATATACTCGTATCGCTGGATTGTTAAATGAATGCTAACGATGACGAAATTGTAGTACAATTAACTTTATTGTACAACAAACAATTTACAATACTTGCTAATACAGTAAAAACACTTTACAATACTTGTTAAAGCAATAACAACGCTCTACTACTTGTTAACACAATTAAACTTATAGCTTGCTTATTCGAAACTCAATTCTCCGCTCACTTTACTTGTAGCTTGCTGACTTGTAACTAACTCACCTCGCTGTGGTGGCGCCCTTATATACCTGCGCTGGCACTTATGGCAACTCTAGACCATTCTGAAGTTTATCGCTCATTCTCTTTCTCTCGCTGTTCGCAGTGTTCATCGAACTTGACGTTTCTCTTTGCGGAACATTCTACGTCGTTCCTCGCAGGCAGGCAGAATGTTGCCTATTTCTCGTTGTTCGCTTTGTGTTGCCGCAGTATTCGCCACACTGCCCTCCACCTAAGTCTGATCGTCCCGATCTGACACACTTGCGGTTCCAAACGCTGCAAGCCTTTCCAAGTGGACCACCTTCATCTTGTTTCTTGGTCTCCCAACGGTCTGGATCCGATACACTACGTCATTTAGCCGTTTTACGACCTTATACGGACCTTCCCAGTTGCATTGTAGTTTTGGGCACAAACCTTTCTTTCGTTGTGGATTGTACAGCAACACCAAATCTCCTTCCTGGAAACCCTCGGAATTCATCGCCTTATCATACCTGGCTTTCATCTTGCCACTCATAATTTGTGCGCGCTGTCTCACAAGAGCATGTATCTCTCTCAGCTCCTCTTCCAGGATGTTTGACGTCTCTTTTCCAATTCTTCTAGCATCACCAGTCACCCCAAACTTCAGATCACTAGGCAAACGGAGCTCACTGCCGAATATTACCCTTGCAGGAGTTTTACCCGTTGTTTCATGCACTGCTGACCGGTATCCCATCAGGAACAAGGGTATGCGGACATCCCAATCTTTTTGATTCTTGTCCACGACCTTCCGCAAATGTTCTTCCAGGGTTCGGTTGAACCGTTCCACCATGCCATCTGATTGCGGATGAAGAGCCGTTGTTCGAGTTTTCCGGATACCCAGTATCTGGGACATCTCTTGGAACACCGCCGATTCAAAATTTCTTCCCTGGTCAGAGTGCAGCTCTATAGGTACACCGTATCTTGCAACCCAATTGTAGGTGAATACCTCCGCTACTGTTTTAGCTTCCTGGTTTGGAATCGGGTATACCTCCGGCCATTTGCTAAAGTAGTCCATAACCACAAGGACGTATTTGTTTCCCTGTGCGCTCATAGGAAATGGACCGGCTACATCCATGGCAATCCGCTCGAAAGGTGTACCTGAGTTATATTGCTTCATCTGGCCGTGACTTCTGGATTTCGGCCCTTTAGCTGCAATACACTCAGCGCAGTTAGCAATCCACTCTGCGACCGATTGCCGACAACCAACCCAATAGAACCTCTGCTTAACCTTCTCCAAGGTCTTCGTGATTCCCAGGTGCCCTCCACTAGGACCATTGTGGAATTCCTTGAGTACATCCGGAATTCTTACCCTTGGAACTACTATCAGGTTGCGGGTGCACTGGCCATCTTCGCTTTCCCATACCCTATGCAAACAGCCAGATATTAATTTTAAGCTGTTCCATTGTGCCCAGTACGCCTTTGCGATGGGGCTTTCCGCTGCCATTTGTTCCTTAGTTGGCCTTCTGTCCAACTCCAGTCCATGCATCAAAAGCTCCAGATCTGGATCTTCCTGCTGACACTTTCGTAGCTGTTCTTCCTTCCACTCTTCCGCTGGTGTGATTGTCGTTAGACGGACGTCTATAATGTCTTTTCCCTCAGTTTTTGAGCAGTGTTTACCTTCCAGGCTACATGGTTGGCGGGACATGGCATCAGCAATACCGTGGACACTTCCCTTGCGGTGCTCAATAGCGAAGTCATAACTTTGCAGTCTCTCAATCCACCGAGCTAGCTGTCCTTCTGGATTCTTAAACTGTAGTAGCCACTTCAGCGCTGCATGGTCCGTTCGAACTCGGAAACGTTGCCCATAGAGGTACTTTTGGAAATGTTTGACGCACTCCACCAACGCTAGTAGTTCTCTCCGAGTTACGCAATAGTTCCTTTCTGGTTTTCCAATCGAGCGGCTATAGTAGGCGACCACCTTCTCCTGCCCATCAATTAACTGCGACA